TATATATATATATATATATTATAATCACATTCATAGTAGGCTAAACATTTGTATATTTACTTTATTAAATTACCCTTACGATCATGTGTAGCAAAATGAACTTATATCAAGATGTTTACAATTCTATCACACATATTAGATTACTCACTTACCTATCACCATTATGTTAATTATTTCTTATCACATGTTGAACTATTAATATAAATTTTTTAACCAAATTAACGGGCGAAAGTTAAGTTCACCAACAACAATGTGCTTAATAGTAAATCACTTAACTCATGTAATTTACTTTTTCATCAACATCATAATTAACTTATTTGTTGTCATTTATAAGATTACGTAAGACTAATTAAGTATATGTCGTCTAACATTACTGTGTTTAAGCTTTTACATTATGATTAGCCACTTGGATATTTATTTACACAAATAAATCATGATGTTGGATAGTGACATACATACAACCATATAATTGTCTTTAGAACATAATTCTTTCAAGCGGAAAGTTTAAATATAAAGCCTAACATTTGCTTGCACTTTATCAAACTAAAAAATTTAAAGTAGTTGTCAATAGAAGATTTATTTATTTCATTTCAATGACGATTTTGGCTTAAGGAGGCAAACTATTTACAACCAGTCCTCGGCCTTGCACTGACCTAATCTTGAACCTATTTGATTTTATTTCACGATGGGCTCATATTTGATCCAACCCAAGTATATCCCATATATAGAAGAAGATCATGCTGATATACAATTTGATCGGATTTCAAACATATTTGATTTGACTCAGGCTCCGTTTGGGGCAGCTCATCTGCTGCGGCGGTATTTTGAAAACACTGTCTAACCGTTTGGAAATTGCGTTTGAACAGCTTATCCAAAAACACAATTGGTTTTTTATACTAAACACGGAATGCGGGTCGAACTCCGCAGTCCACATTTCCAGATAAGTGCCTTATCTGAATAAACACAAACTGCTATAAACACACCGACAAACTCAACTGAGTCCAAATTGTAAATAGATCTTGAGCCAAATCTGACTCATAGGCCCGCTGTTGGCAGGCTCAATCCGAACGATCGAACGAGTTATGAGCTAATACGGGCATCAGGCAAAAGCAGACCCGGTTCAGACTGTAGGGTGCCTGTACCCCTCTCGCAAGAAAGCTGTATCGAATTGCATCGTATTTTGGACTTCAGAGACCTCCTCATTCCGCGCTTCGTCTTCTTCAGATCGGTAAGTGTCTTCCTTGAGTCAATCTGATCTATTCGATTGGTAGCTTGGAAAATAGCTGCTGAATCTGAAAATGGGCGGTTTGAAACTATTTTCTGTGTTATCTTTTTCGTCGTAGTCACTTCTGAATGGGCGCTTGATCTTTGGTGAGTACGTGCGGTTGAATTCTAGGGTTTTTGTATTGTTGAGATTTCGTGTGTTTTGCGATCCCCAGGATGGCGAAAGCTTTGTTAGATGGTCCCCCGAAGGGTGGGTTTAGTTTTGATATGTGCCGGAGGAACGATATGCTCGTGAAGAAGGGAATACAGCTCCCGGGTTTCAGGAAGACCGGAACCACCATTGTTGGCTTAGTTTTTGAGGTGATTGACCTTTTTGTTTACTTCTTCTGTCGTTGGAATTACTGAGTTTTTTGCTCTCTTTCATTTTCCATGTTGTTACTAGTGAAAAAAAAAATCATTCTTTTTCAAAGTTTAATCTCTTTTTGATCTACCACTAAAGCTGATGCTAAATATTTGGAATGATCGATATGGCGCAGATGATGAAATTTTTATTATCTTTTTTTTTGACACGCTATATGTATGACATATTGTCCTTTGACCTCTCCGCGTGGTAGCCTCTTTGATCAGCTCGTAGCTGTTATTTATGCATAATTCTGTGAATGCAACTGTTAAATTTCTGCTTAAGCCTTGTTTCGTGCAGCTTTTATTTTGCTAAAAGTTTGTTTAATAGCTGTTTTATAAAAAGCTGCGTTTTCAAATCAAATAGAAATTACGAATTAAAATAACAACAAAATGATGTTTAGTGAGAAGCACTTTTAGGAAAGTATACCAATCAAACAAAACTGAAAATGGGAAATCTGTTTTCTATAAAATGGAAAGCAGTTTTAAAGCTTCTCCAAACAAAGCCTTAGTATCAGTGACCATGAGGGCCTAGAATGATCAACAAAAATAGAGCATTTGACAAATTGATATGAGACTTCATAAAGCTATTTCTGGTACAGATCAGTGAAAAAAATTCTAACTTGCTTACTACTTTTATTATTTTTTTCATTTTAGTATGCGGAGATTCTTTTTGTTTTAGCCAAATTACATGTTCATCTATACCTTCAGACGATAGATATATAAACAAGAAATCTTTTTGGTTATAGTTATACAATAAATTGACATCTGAACAATATTCAAGTAAACATTGCAATGTGTTTCATCGATGATGATCAATTATGGGAATTATTAAGGAACCCATGAACAAGCATAATAATTCATTGCAATTGAGACTTTGATTTAACTGGATTGGAGGCAAGTTTCAAACCACCGTCACATTATTTTTGTATTTTTAGCGTTTCTGATTTGGATTCTAGAGGCATTTATTAGGCATGCTACAGCCAATTTAAGTGTTGTAGAAAAATATCAATTTTTTTTTATGTTCATCAATTTGTATGATACCAAACTTGCAATCTGGTATCCTTTTTTCTTTTATTATTGCCAACTGTTGTTATCTTCATAGTCTATACAATATTCTGAAGCTCTATTCCAGAATCACTTCTGCCTGCTCATCCTTTTTTGTTTGCTATTATAACTTATTCAGGATGGGGTTATTCTAGGAGCTGATACGAGAGCAACAGAAGGACCTATAGTTGCCGATAAGAATTGTGAGAAGATTCATTACATGGCACCAAACATCTATTGCTGTGGAGCTGGAACTGCTGCAGACACTGAGGCCGTGACAGGTTTTTTTTTCCTTAATTTTTCTTATAAAGTGTTTGGTGGAATTTTGTTTCTTTTGGTTGAATTGCGAACAAACTAATATGTAACCATCATCAAATTGTTACCCTTAACACATTGGTTTCATGAATTTATATTTTTCATTTGTTTATGTTAGGTATTGTCTAAGGTATTAAGCTTATTCTTTGCAAATTCTTCTAAACACTTTCTATTCATGTTATCATAGATCCACCCCTTCTCTTTTATCATCCATCAGTAATTTTTTCTATTGATCCAATGGGAGTATATTCCATCTCTTATGGTACATGTCTAAACCATCTAAATTTAATTTTAATCATTTTATTATTATTTGTTGTGACTTTAACCATTTCTCTATTATAATCATTCTTTAAGTAATTTTTTGCCTCATATCTATCTAAATATTCTCATTTTAAGCATGCTCATCTTAGTTATCAATAAGTTTCCTACTATGTAATATTTGAATTTATATAATATTGTTGGCCTTATTGCTATTTTATAAAATATACTTTTAAGTCTCCATTACATTTATCTATCACATAATATTTATAATTGACTTCCTATTTGAATTTCTCATTTTTAACTATAAAAATATTCTCATTTATATCTTTATCATTTTATATAATAGATTCAAAATACTTAAAATCTGCCACACCTATATATCTTTATTTTTTAGTAATATTAATTGTTAATTTTTAACCGATTAAAGTTAGATATAGATGCTTAATCTTTATTTTATTTAATTTAAGCTCTCAACTTTTCTAATATTTTTTGTTGTTTTGAGTTCTGACTTTCTATTTATTTAAATAGATATCTTTTTGATTTGAACAATGCCATCCACAAAAAGCATCAACGAAAACACCTTATTTTGAATATCTTTTATAAAAACATTCATTACTAATACATATGCACTCTCTCTCTCACACACACATACTGCAATAATTATATATATATGTGGTGTGTGTGCATGCGGGCTTGCGCTCGTGCTCGCTCGCCGTCACTAAATCGATTCTATGGTAGTCATTCTTTAGCATGAAACCAAAATAATTCCCTAAAACTGACATCATTTATTTTAAGTTGTTCTATATCCCATGTGTTTATTACATGAATTATAATTTTAATTCTTCTATAGTTAGCATAAATTTGAACATTTATATTCTCTTAATTATTAATACCTAAATGCTTATCTACAAACAATTTAACATTCATTTCATTGTGAAAATTCATTAAATTATTTATTAATCAATCCATTGTAGTATGACCTTGTAATTTGATTGCAATAGTTACAAGCATCTAGTCCTTAATACATACTATTTGTTTGTATCTTTT